GATCCAAGATACACATAATAATCTCTAAATAGACATTCTCAACCCTCCCGGAACGATCAAAATGTCATAGATCGAAAGTGATAGAGAATTTCATACCACAATTATCTATTGCCTTTGTCTCTCCCTTTCCTCAACTATTATCTTCTGATATGTGCTAATAATTTTTTACATTGGTGCTTTATCCCATGTTCTCACCCTCCCATGGTAGAAAATACCTATTTTTGGGATTCGATCCAACACAAAAAAACCCTCGAACATCAATTCCTAACAACTAAATACAATGTTGACACCCACCAAGGATCACCTAATTCCTCAAATACATCCAATATTGGAATCATTGGGGAAGGACCTAAGACCATCACTAATGGACCAAGGAATAGACAACTGAAATTGGATTTCCCGATTTGCTGATGGTGACCTATCTATTTGTTTTTTTTGCAGTAAATTGTTATTTCTAATACAATGACATCTCTGATATTGATCGCTTGATGATGGCGTCATTTCACTTGGATTTATTGGCATCACGTTGGTTTCAAGGAATGTTCAATGATAGGTTACTTTCTAAATGGGATACCTTCATCATTGCATCACATTGGTATGTTGATATTGCGAATTACATAGTAAATGTAATCCTACCTAACAATATGAGTTCACGGCATAAGAAGAAGTTCATCCATGAGTGCAAATTTTATCTTTGGGATGAACCTTACCTATTCAAAAGATGCCCTGATCAAATAATAAGAAAATGTGTACCCAAAAAGAGAGATATAAGCCATATCGGAGCAATGCCATTCATCTCCATATGGAGGCCATTATGCTGGAATTAGGATGGCAACAAAGGTGTTACAATCAAGATTTTATCGGCCTAACATTTTTAAAGATTCACATTCTTTTGTTTTAAGTTATGTTAGATGTCAAAGGACAGAGAATATATCAAGGAGACATGAGATGCCCATCAATCCTATTCTAGAAGTGGAGCTTTTTGATGTTTGGGGGCTGGACTTTATGGAACCATTCCTACCATTATTTGGGAACCAATATATCTTAGTTGTTGTTGACTATGTTTTCAAGTGGGTAGAAGCCATGGCGTTACCCATCAATGATTCAAAAGTAGTGTGGAAGTTTCTCAAGAAGAACATATTCACAAGGTTTGGTACACCAAGGGCAATTATAAGTGATGAAGGCACCCATTTTTGCAGAAAATAATTTGAACATCTTTGGGAAAATATAGAGTGAAACACAAGATAGCTACATCATACCACCCTTAAACTAGTGGACAAGTTGAATTATCAAATATAGAGATTAAAAGGATGTTAGAGAAGGTGGCGAATCCTACAAGGAAAAAAATCATCACTAAGGTTGGATGATTTCTTATGGCCATATATTACCTCATACAAAACTGTCTTATGTGCATCACTATTTAGAATTGTGACTGGGAAGACATGTCATCTACCTGTACAGTTTGAGCATAATGCTTATTAGGCTATTACAAAGCTAATACTAGATGCCAAGATAGCAAGAGAAAAGAGAATGCTGCAACTTAATGAAATGGATGAATTCAGGCTAAAATCATATGAAAATGCCAAGCTTTATAAAGAAAAGATAAAAAATGGAATGAAAAAAAGATTTTGAATAAAAGCTTTGAGCCAGGAGAACAAGGGTTATTATTCAATTCAAGGCTCAAACTATTTCCATGAAAGCTTAAGTCGAGGTGGTCAGGACCATATAAAGTCATTCAAGCATTCCCCTATGGAGCCATTGAGATAATGGATGAAACGAGGAAGGAACCATTTAAAGTCAATGGCCAGAGGCTAAAGCATTATTGGGGAGGCCATGCAAGCAAGAAGAAGTTTGTCATCTCCTTATCTAGCTAAATCCAAGACGGGAAGAAGTCGGGTTGAAGACTCAAAATCAAGCGCTTTAGGGAGGCAACCCCACAAGTCAAGCTGATGACTTAAAATCAAGCATTTTTCTTTTAGTTCAATGTCATTTAATTCGGTTTAGTTCACTATCACAAATCTCTATTATTTTTCTCTCGCAAGTGTTTCAACACTTTCTTTTCTCACACTTTTTACACAATTTCTATCTTTCTATTCATACATATAAATTCCTAACATACAACACATGGGAGAGTTCAACTTTAACTTGATAACCTATTATAATCACTAATTTCCACATCCTTTGACCATTCTTACTTTGTAGACTTCAAATTGGTTTTGACAACTTATAATAACCACACACTAAGTACAACTCATATATAGACAAGGCTTCATGATGCTTATAGTTTAATGTATAGATAAGACTTCCAACTCATCATGACTTGGCAATGGATAAAGTGTAGTCCATAAGTTTCCATAAGCTTCCTTAAATTTCTACAAGCATCCATAAGTCTCTACAAGATTCAATAAGTTTCTAGATTGGTGGTGGAGAAATTCAATTTGAATTTGAATTCTTTGGTGGTGGGAAAGAAGTAAAAGTGAAATTAAGTTTGAATTCTAACACTTCCCCTCAAACTTGATTTTGCATACCAATTATGTCTTTGAGTTTGTGTAACACCTCTGTTTTCAATGGCTTTATGAAAATATCTACAAGTTGTTCTTTAGTTATGCAGTAGACTAATTCTACAACTTTATTTTTAACTTGCTCCTGAATAAAATGGTACTTCGTGTCGATATGCTTGCTTCGACTGTAGGAGACTGGATTCTTTGCAAGTGATATTGCAGACTTATTATCCACATGTATAATGATTGGATCTCCTTGCTTCTGATGCAACTCATTCAAAATATTCTTTAACCAAATTGCTTGACATATGCATGCTGCTGCAATATATTCTGCTTCACATGATGAGAGAGCAACATTTCATATTTTCTTTGATAACCATGAAAATATTGTTGAGCCGATGTGAAATGCATATCCTGAAGTGCTTTTTCAATCATCTATGTTTCCACCATAATTTCTATCGGAATAGCCAATTAACTTTGATTATTCGGAATGCATATAGAATAAGCCATGATCAATGGTACCTTTGATGTATCTCAAAATTCTTTTTGCTGCACTGAAGTGATCTTAGTTTGGCTGCTCCATATATCTGCTAACTAGGCCAACTGCAAACATGATATCTGGTCGAGTGAAAGTCAAGTACCTCAATTTCCGACCAAACTCTTGAATAGTGTTGAGTTTGCCAGTTCTCTATTTGAGTCTGCTTTCAACTTCATTCCTGCTTCTATTGTTGTAGATATAGGCTTATAATCTTTCATTCTAAACCTGCTCAATATCTCTTGTGCATATTTCTTTGTGACATAAAAATTCTTCCTCCATTTGTTTAACTTCAACTACAAGAAAATAAGACATCTCTCCAATATCTATCATTTCAAAATATTTAGTCATAACTTTCTTAAACTCAACAAATATACCTGGATTATTTCCCGTGAATATCATATCATCTACGTAAAGATAAACTACCATCATATCTCCATCTTCACGCTTCTTTGTTATAAATCATGCTTTTATGGACTCTTCACAAATCCATTTTTCTGAAAATATTCACCTATCCTTGTGTTCCAAGCTCTTGGAGCTTGCTTCAATTCATGTAGTGCCTTCTTCAATTGATAAATTTTATCATCTTCTTTTTTAACATAACTTGGTGATTTGTTAATGCAAACTTCTTCTTCCAGGTAACCATTAAGGAAGGCCGATTTTACATCCATTTGATATATCTTCCATTGCTTTTTTGATGCAACTGCTATAAGAAATCTGATAGTGTAAATCCTTGCAACAAGCGCAAACACCTCTTCATAATCAACTCCATATTCTTCCTGTAGCCTTTAGCCACCAATCTCGCATTTTACTTCTCCACCTTCCCTTCTTGATAGGTCTTTATCTTGTACACCCACTTTACTACGATGGGCTTATGTTCCTTAGGCATAGTTGAGCTCCCATATATCATTTATTTTGATTGCAATAATTTCTTTATTCATGGATTTCTTCCATTTTTCATCTTATGCACCCTCTTCATATGTTATTGGATCACATTCGGCTATTAAACAAAATAATGAATAATCAAGTGTAGTTTGCACTGGATCTATAGCATCATAGATATCACTTAAGCTTCTCATCTTTGCTGATGCTCCCCTTGAATTGTTGTTGGTGCTTCCTAATGTTGATGGTGTATATGCAGGTGTTGTTGTAGTAGGACTTGGTGGAGGAGTATTTCTGTCTTGAATTATCAGTTCTTCTGAGTCATCATCATCTTTAAAGAATAAACCTTCAACTTTTCTTTCCTTATTACTCTATCTCCAATATTCAGCTTCATCAAACTCTACGTCTCTTAAGATGATTACCTTTTTCGTTAGATGATTGTAGAGTCTGTAAGCTTTACTCCTATAATCATAGCCAATGAAAATGCATTTCTCCCTTTTCTCATATAGCTTCTTTCTCTTTTGATATGAAATATGGACATACGTTATGCAACCAAAGATTCTTAAATGACTTACTTCTGGTTTCTTGTCGCTCCATGCTTTATTTGGCTTCTTGAACTTTACGCTTTTTATTGGACATCAATTCAATAAGTAAGCAGCACAATTAACAGCTTCAGCCCAAAATGTTCTTGGAAAGTGCTTTTCCTTTAGCATATTCCTCGCCATATCAAGAATTATACAATTATTTCTTTCTATAATCCAATTTTGTTGTGGCATGTAGGCAACTGTTAACTGATGAATTATTCCATGTTGACTACATAATTCTTCAAATAATTTGGAAGTGTATTCACCTCCTTTATCTGTTCTAAGTATCTTCAGATACTGACCACTTTACTTCTCCACCATTTCTTTAAATTCCTTGAATTTGTCAAGGGCTTCTGATTTTTCTTTAATCAGATACACCCAAACTTTTTTGCTGAAATCATCAATGAAAATGATATAGTATTTGTTTCCTTCAAGTTACAGAATGTCAAATGGACCAACTATATTCAAGTGGACTAGATGCAATGGTCTTCTAACTCTCTATGACTTGCCAACTTTAAAGCTTTGTTTGTGCTTCTTTCCTTTCATACAACTATCACATAACTGATATGGATGATTTATTTGTGGCAATCCATTCACCATATTTGCTTTTGACAACAATTTTAGGCCAGTGAGTCCAAGATGACAGAATCTGAGATGCCACAACCATGAACTATCTTTTGTGATGGACTTCATGCATCTTATTTCTTTCCTCTGGATGTTTAGCTTGAATATGAAATTTCTTGTCATATCGACTTTTGCAATCAATTCTCCCTTTTGATTTCTAATGATGAGAGAATTATTCTTCAAGTGAATATTGTATCTTTTCTCCAAAAACTGACCAAAACCAAGGAGATTACTTTTCAAAGATGGGATATAGAAGACATCAGAAATGTATTTTCTATCCCCATTCTTTGTGAAAATCATAATCTTTCCTTTGCCTTTGATTGGAACATTTGATGGATCTTCAAAAGTTACTTCTCCTTGAACATTCTCGTTCAACTTTGTGAATAACTCCGTGTTTCCGCTCATATGGTTGCTTGCTCTAGTATCGAGGTACCATACATCTTTGCTACTATATTCCTCACCTTTATAAGTGAATAACATGGCCAGTTCATCAGCTTTCTCTTCATTTACAGTATAATGACTTCTCTCTGCAACTTTAGGGTGTTATCTGCATTTGTAACTGAGATGGCCAAACTTGTTGCAATTATAACATTGCAACTGAGATTTGTCACCTCCTTGTTGAAATTTGCTTCCTTCTTTAGTCATGAATCCTTGACCTCGACCTCTACTTTGTCCTCTTCCATGATTGTATATGCCTTGACCACGTCTATATGCTACTGAATCATCTTTAAGTCCTATATTTGATTTTCCACGTCTATCGCATCCCTAACGATTGTCTCGAACATTGAATTTGCCTCTCAAGTGTTGTAGCTACGTCTGTATCCACCATGATTTCCTCTGCCACCTCCAAAGCTGCTGCTAGCTTGATTTTCATCAAATGATAACTTGCTTTGCAAAGCTTGCTCCAAATTGCTAGAACCTTCATTTAGATTCATTCTTTGCTCGTAAGCTTGAAGGGAACCCATAAGTTCATCGATAGACATGGCTGACATGTTTTTTGCTTCTTCAATAGCGGTGACGATATAATCGAACTTCCTTGCCAACGATCTTAACACTTTTTCCATTATTCTAACTTCATCCAAAGTTTCTCCATTCCTTTTCATTTTTATGTCCACCTTTTGCACTCGTGAGACATAATCTGTAATTGGCTCTCCACTTTGCATCTTTAGGTTTTCAAACTCAGCTTTGAGTGATTGGAGACACACATTTTTGGCTTTGTCGGCTCCTTGGCAGGACTTCTGCAAAATCTCCCATGCTGCTTTGGAAGACTTCACATATAATATTTTTTCAAAGGTCGATTCATCAATACCTTGAAAAGTTAAGAAAATAGCCTTCTTGTCTTTCCTGTGTGATTCTTTAAGTGTCATTCTTTGTGCATCGGTCATTGCTGCTTCAGCGACTGCATCTACGAGTTTTGAATATCCAGTTTCAATAAGATCCCAAACATCTTATGAACCCAGTAGAGTCTTTATGTGAGTGCTCTAGTTTTCATAATTTATCTTTGTCAACTTGTTAGAGATAGAATAATAAGAATAGATCAAGTACAATAGAAGAAGAGTTTTTACTATATAAAATTTTCACTCAAGAACAAAATATTACAACACTAATCTCTATTTGTATTTCTCACAAATCTCTATTCCTCTTCTCTCACAAGTGTTTCAACACTTTCTTTTCTCACACATTTTACACACTTTCTATTCTTACATCTAAATGCCTAACATACAACACACCTATATATATACATACACATGGCAGAACTTGACAACCTATTACAATCATTAGTTTCTATCTCCTTTGATTATTCTTACTTTGTAGACTTTAAATTGATTTTGACAACTTATAATAGCCACACACTAAGTACAACTCATATATAGATAAGGCTTTATGATGCTTCTAGTTTGATGTATAACTAATGTTTCCAATTCATCATGACTTAGCAATGGATAAAGTGTAAGCCATAATTTTCCACAAGCTTCCTTAAATTTCTACAAGAATCCATAAGTCTCTATACAAGGTTCCATAAGTTTATAGATTTGTGGTGGAGAAATTCAATTTGAATTTTAATTCTTTAGTGGTGGGAAAAAAGTAAGAGAAAAATTGAGTTTGAATTTTAACAAGTGAGACGCACGAACGATCGAATGTAGAAAACCAAAAATAAAGAAAGGAGGAAGAATTTGGAGAATGGATGATGTGCAAAAGCTGCCTCGAGAGAATAAGGCTAAAGCTACATCGTCAGTGCTGACGAAGGCAACGAAAGACAAGCGCAATTAAGAGAAAAAGTAACGGTTAAACAGAAGTTAAGAGAGAAACCAAAATAGGTGAATATGAAAGGTAACGCCAAGCAGTTGGTAATTCAAAACTCTAATGGTTTGAGGTTCAATGTCCTTCAAGACAAAATCATTACCTTAACGACATTAAACGAGGGTATTAAGGAAAAGGAACAGTAGTTAGTATAAGCAAGTGAAGAAATAAAAGAGAGAGAGAAATCCATAACTGACGTGGAGAAGTCTCCAACTTTGAACGTTAGACTTCATCCCAATTAAGCTTCCTTGACAACTAAGAATGACTTAAGCAAGATAGCAAGTGGCACACGTTGAACTCAGGCACAAACACATAGACCAAATCTAACTATGACAGATAAAGGAAAAACGATATTGAAAAATCTAGATAAGGAATACAAGATGCTTGAAACCTACTCTGCGACAGTTTGGAGCCTTGAATTAGAACCTATTTGAAAACCTGATCATACCAAAAGCGATACAGAGAATAACAAATCCTAGGCGATTGGTTATCCACACACACAGATAGACAAATATTGGGACTTGCATGAATTATCTACTCCACTGGTGGGTTATGTAAATCTTCTACACGAGGATGCAATAGGAGTGAGTCTCTTGAGAATAATGTTGTCTGAAAGTTTGTAAGTTTCCTTTTATTTTTATCTTTCTTAATGTATCCAAAAAAAAAATCCAAAAGTATGTAACTATTATGAAAATAGCACTTCAGAGAATAAGAGTTATCCTAGTCTTCTATATAAACAATGTTTAACCATCATAGCCTTAAGAGACAAGACACAAATGCCCACACCTATCTATTTTTCCTTAAAGTATAGTTTGAAAGATTTATACATCCCTAAGGAGCCTCATTGAAAAATATCTCATCATCTTAGGATTTGTTTGGGAGTTTGGAGGGGAAGGGAATGAGAGGTATTCAAGGGGAAGGGAGGGGAAGGGAATGAGAGGTATTCAAGGGGAAGGGAAGGAAAATCGAGGGTATTCTTTTTCTTTGTTTGGGAGTTAAAATCCCTCAAAATGGGAAAACTTTAATTTTAAGAACAAGAAGAGTTTTGTGAAATTCCTCAATTTTTTCCCTTCACTTTTTTAAACTCACAAACAAAGGAAGAGATTAATAAAACATTCTCCTTCCTTTCCTTTCACTCACAAAACTAACTCCCAAACAAGCCCTTAGAGGAGTCGTCTTGATAATCCATATATTCTAGATATATGGATTATGTGATTTATATGGACAAAGATAATTTAATAGCATAAATTAATTCACATTTTTGTATGCCTCACTATATTGATTCGTTATCCATGTTCCATTATTCCACTATAATTTTTTTTGGGTTCGCTTTTTCTGCATTTACTGCAGATAAGTCATTTGCAGTAAGTCCAATACGACGTCGTTTTGGGGCGGAAATCATGGTATATTTGTAATTTTAATTTATTTCAGGGTTATAATAGTCTTTATATTTATAATTTTTAAGATTTCAATATCAAAACGAAGTCGTTTTGAGAATAAATGCAGATAACTTATCTGCATTAACTGCAGAAACATTTTTTCTTTTTTTTTTATGGATTATTCAAATAGTTTGATTTTGATGCATTGTGACTTAATGACATCTAATTTTATATTATTTATATTCCAATCTTATATTGACATCTAATTTAATGAGCGTGATTTGGTAACAATTAGATAAGATATTAAAGAAAAACCCTAATTCATTGACTTTTTGATATTACAATAAGAAATAAGAAAAACTCAACGGCCTAAGCTCAAGAACAGGTCAAAACTCATTGGATAAAGATAACTCCGCTTCTGGGGGGTCCATGGACCCACACGAGTGTCTCTTCAAGATTCCAATGACTATCTTGTAATCTTACTGGCGAAGTAAACGAAATGAACCAGAAACTGTACCAGAAAATGACCCACAAAATTAAATTAATAAAAATAAAACTTTATAATTCAATTAATGTTAATAAATAATAATTCCACGGCTGTTGTTTCTCGCAACCACAATTCCGCAATCTAAGCGGGTACTGTTTTCTTCTATCAGTTTTTGGATTATGGGTTTTCTGTGGTTTGCTCTAAAGTTTCAGACTTTGTTAAAATCCCACTAGAGTTTGGACTTCGTAAATATTCATTGGTGTTCTTCTTTTCGCTTCATTTTCTTTTTTAGTTTCAGTATATATATATTTTTTCCTTTTTGGGTTTTGTGGAATTCCCATTTTTATAATGCACATAAGTGCCGGTTAAAGAGGCGGGGAAAGCTAGGTTCTTGTGGAAATTCAACTTTTGGAGTTGTTCTTGATTGTCCTTTGTTGTGTTGATTGGATATTGGTGCGGTTTATATAGAGTTGAAGGGGCTGAAAATGATGCTGCATTTTGTACAGCCGTCAAAGCTGAAAACTAAACAGGTATTTTGGCTAAACGGGTTTTTTTTTTTTTTTTTTTTTTTTTTTTTTTTTTTTTAAATAGTTGGAGTTTTACATGATTTTGATTTCTGGGTCAGTGATATTGATTGTTGATTAGTACATGGTTTACTTAGTACAATGGAATTGGAGAAGATTAGAAGGAAGAAATTATAAACTTAATAAAAAGGGTAAATCATGATACACAGGCTCCCCGACTTTGAAGGGTAAGGACATGGTCGATTCTATGAGGTCTTACCCATATATTTTTGCAAATTATAATCTTAATACTTGGATAAATTGGCAAACTTTCCTTCATATTGTCTTCTTGTATGAGATGATCTTAGGAACATGTTGAGTATTAGTATGAGCAATTGAGTAGGCATACTTTCACTAACTGCATTGTTTTGACTTTGTTTTACTGAGCAAACTAGGTTTGGTTTTGTAGTTATGAATTGTATTGCAACAAAATTCTGTTGTTGATATTGAAATATTCACTGCATATATAACTACTGATGTATACCAAAAAAAATTGAACTTTGGTGTATGCATCAATGCAGCTCTGCCCCATGCTATAGTTCTGTTTTTAGTCGGTTCATATATTCTTTGGTTTAGTATATGATAGTATTTGCGTTATTTGTTGCCAAAACTCATATTAAAATAAGTACTTTTGTCTTGTATGAGGAATGATGACTTCATCATTATTAGTTAGTAGCACTGATTATCGATTTTCATGTTGTTAGATAGTGTTTGAGGATATATATGCTGCATGTGATTCTGCAACGCTTGAGCATCTTAAGGAATTAAGCTCAAAGCGTAGAGCAATTGAAGAGTCTAGCAATGAGAGCCGCACCATTACAGAAGCTATTGCGAGAGAAATGTATGGAGGGTTTGTATCTCGCCATGAACAGGTAACTGTATATGCTGTCTGTAAGAACCCTTTTACTCCCCTTGTTCTGTGCACAATATGCAAATGACAATAATCTTGATCCTTGATTCCAAGTGTATTTTTCTTGTTAGCAATATGATTCCAGTTGTGTTAAACTGTGTCCTTTTTTTTTTTTTTTTTGTAAATAATGCTAACAAAGTCCTGTAAGTTAATGTTAACATCAAGCTCATGGAAGGGAAGGAAAGAACAGATTCCACCCTTTCATTCCCATTTGTTGTTAAATGTGGACCTTATTAGGTCATTGTGTAATGACTTGAGAATGGCCTGATGCAATTCCGCACATTCTCTTCTGGTGTATTTGTATGACCAACACTGTTTTAGACCCTTGTAGTCAGTATATTGTAAATCATCAAATTTTTAGCAATAGTGATGAATTGGTGTCATACTGTGTAAATAAGTTTATTTTATTTTATTTGTTCTGTCTGCATCAGGATATTCACAAAATAGAGCAGTATCTACCATTATTGGCAAATTTGTTTCCTTATGCTGATGGAATAAGCACCAAAAATCAAATGGCTCAATGGACCTCCGCTCTTAAGATACGCTGGAGTAGTGCTCTGAGCTCATCTTCTTTCTTCAATTTCAAGGGCCCTAAATTTTTCCAAATTGACAATTTACGATTTGAGCTTGGTATGACCCTTTTTCTTTATGGTGGAATCCTGCGAGAGAGGGCTTTAGAAGTTCTGTCAGATGGTATGTGTTTGAAAAGCTTGAAATCCCATCTTCCAAGAGTAGCTTGTCCTGTTGAATATGTTTATATATGGCATAGCTGTTTGTTCTGTAGATTTGGTTCAGTCTGCCACCCTTTTCAGACAAGCTGCTGGCATTTATCATCACCTGGCACATGATGTTCTTCCCCCCTTACAGCCTGAGTTGCCACCAGAAAAGTCACCAGAAGCTCTTGCTGCAGTATCCACCATTATGAGCCTCATTTGCTTGGCTGAGGCCCAGGTTGGTGTTGTGGTGCAATTTTTTATTTTGTTTTGTTTTGTTTTTGCGTCATTGCAGCAGACTTAAACAGTCATATCACGAAACTTGGTTACATTATATATGAAAATTTTCATATTAATTTTTCCAGTTTAAAAAAATGAAGTTCAGCAAGTTTTTGGTTGTTAATAACTGATATGTAATATTTGTCTAATAGGCTGTAACTGTAAGGAAGGCTGAAGAGAAAGGCACTTCTTCAAGTCTCCTGGCAAAGTTGCATCATGGTGTTACAATTTTTCTTGAAGAAGCTATTGGGGTTTTTCATACAGTTGTCAAGCAGTGCAAAGACATTTCATCACGCTTATTGGTATGGCTATTTGCCTTTTCATATTGATAGAAATCATCATCATTGTCTGCAACTCTGCATCTTATCTCATTATAGAGTTTCATTTGATGCAAATTCTGAACTAGTATACTTTCCTAAGTGTCAAAATAGCCTGGTAGGTAATGTGCATAATTGTTCACAAATGACATGTAAACCATGGCTTAAAGGTATAGTAGTAAACTGAGAGATCCGTTTATGTGGAATGTCTATAGACAAAATGTAGGGAGGGATTATTCCAGAGTAAAATATTTGCTCAAAAATAATACCATTCTTTCTCTTTTGACATTGTTTTCTTTCCAATTTTGTTTAAAAGGAGAAAAAACTGAAGGAGGAAAAGCAACTGACATGCAACAATTTATATATACAACTATCTAAAAGGGAATAGGGTGTGACACATGTCTTTGCCCACACACACACCCCATGCGCATACGTGCATACACGCACACACGGAGGGTGGAGAAGCCCAATTTTAGATATAAGATGCTATTTTGTTAGATTTCTTGTTGATGAACATGTTCTGATTAAGGCAGTCTCCTTTCTCTCCTCTCCTGTATTGCCTATGTTAATAATTTTATGTTTGTTTTTCCCTTTTGATCTTCCATTACCCTTTCATATGTGCAGGATTTTATATCTTTCTGCAAATGCTTACACGAGTTGAAAGGTCAGCAATATGTTGCAGAAAGCCTGAAGGCTTCTGGGCAAATAGGGGCTGCTATTGGAGTTCTTGGTTCAACATTGATTAATGTAAAAAAGAAGATACCAGGAGAAGAGCCTTGGAGATCTATTTACCAAAAGCAAATTCATGATGCTTCCGAAGTGCTAAGAAAGTTTGTACATGAGAATGATTTAGTTTGGTTTGAGAAGATCCCATCAGGAGATGAGTTACCCTTGCCTGAAGGTCATAAAATAGTCAATTTTATACCTTACAGTCCAAAAAGATGGGAAAGACAACTTTCTTTCAAGATTCAAGGGTAGAGGAAAAATCACGTTAAGCACATCTATTTGGTCATGGCTCTGGTGCTTGAACTGGAGTAATTGGATTTCTCACGAACCGGTTGGGAAATTGAAAAAAAATGGTTATGGCTCATCAAAGGATATCTTGTTTCCTTTCTGTTTTACACTTTTACTCCTCAATTTGGTATCTGAAATGTACTCATCATGTTATGTCCTTGCTCCTCTTTTATTGTGTAGAGCTTGGCTGGCCAAAAGTTTTGCCAGAATTAAATTGTGGGAACCAGCATGTGTCAAAATTGCAACATGCTATTGATTCATGGATTAAGCTATCCTTAATTTACCTTAACATATTGTGATATGCTCAAACTCAACCCTGAAGAGTATTCTTTTCAATTAGTTTTTGAAACATCTATACTAACTCTACGAATTATAGGGCAAATAAATTAAGGCTTTAATGTTTAAGTTATCTACATTCGTTATCAAAAGGACGTCATTTTGGGTTGAAAAATTAAAAAATTATAATAAAAAAGATTATTATAACTCTGAAATAAATTATAATTACAAAAATATCTTGATTTTCTTCTCAAAATGATGTCGTTTTGGGTTCAATGTAGATAAATTATCTACATTGATTGTAGAAAAAATGAACCCATAAATTAATATAATTTCTGTAAGTGTATATTAATGACTTAATTCATATTTGAAACTTTTTTTTTTCTTTGTACACGTAAAGCTCCAAATTTCTGTCCTAATTTTTTACTTCTATATTTATGTTTTTTGTAATCCAATAATGAATGAGTTGGAACAATCGCATATGCATTTCTAATAGGCTAATCTCTTCCCATTTCATGGAAATTTCAAAGGAAATTATATGCGCCTGGCCATCTTTTATCAACAGTTATAAAATTTGTTATAATATCAAATGTATTAAAAAAGAAAAAAAAAACCAACCTAAGGGGAAAAAAAATCACGGTTTTTCTACACAATTGTTATTAAAAAAAAAAAGTATACAAACCTCAACAAGAAAAGCTTTTGCAGTCATTCTCTTACATCTTTTTCATGTTATTGTTTTTACCATTCAAGTAATATAAAAAAAATAAAAAAAAATAATATATGATATTTGAAGCTGAAATATTGTACATAAATAATGTGCTTGCTAGGAATTAGAATATTAATTACGAAGAGCAAGTGCAATGAGATTGTGGGGTTGGGCTGAAAATTTAGATGAAAGAAGCATGGAGAACAACAGTTTGATGTTGTGGGTCAACATGCGACAAGTGGCACACTTTGGAACATATGTCATCGTACAACAATGAATATATAGTGGGTGGTGGTTGAGTTGAGTGGTGAAGTTAAACTGAAGTGTCAGTGAGAGTATACCATCAACCATGACAACGTTACAGTGCAATTCTCTTCCTCTCAACAAACCTTGTCATCCCAGAAGAAGACTCTTGCAACCCGTTTTCTCATCCACCAGTTTTATCTCTAGTCTTTGCACTAGTTCCACTGCATTAAAGACTTCAACATCAAGGTCAGTTTTTGTGTCTATCTACTTCTTCATGGTCCATTGTTAACTGTTTCTCTCTAGTTTGAAGTTTAAGCTTGGAGGAGTAATCAATCAGAGGTAAGTGGTTGCAGGTGGGTTTGGAATGTTTCTGCTGTTGTGTCAGAAGAGAACACAGTTGGGTCCAGTTTCTCTTCAACTGATGATGATGTCTTCAAACTGACATATTTAGAGGTGGGTTTTATGGTTCTTATTTACCCTTAACTTGTCTTGAGTTTGATTGTTTTTAACTTTTTGACATGGGTGAAGTGTTGGATTTAGGGAAATAGTTGGCTGTGGAATGTTGGTGGGGCAAACATATTGGTTGATCCAATTTTGGTGGGCAACTTGGATTTTGGAATTCCTTGGCTTTATGATGCTGCTAAGAAAGTGTTAAAGAAGTTCCAGGTACCTTTTGATGGATGCTAGCTACTTATTGATTAGGATTTACCTACTTGCTATGCTTTTGTGTTATCCTGTTCCCAGTGGAAATTCATGATCTTGTTATGAACCATTTGCTTCTATAGTACAGCTCAGTGATCTTCCAGAAATCGACTGCTTACTCATTACTCAAAGCCTTGATGATCACTGCCATTTGAAGACCTTGAAGCCTTTCTCTCAGAAATTTCCAAACACTAGAGTCATAGCAACTCCTAATGCCAAGGCCTTGTTGGATCCTCTTTTCAGAAATGTAAGTATGATATGTTCTTTCTATCCTTCTTTCCTTTGGCTGGTGAAAAGCCTTATATATATATATATATATTTGAATTTGAACCTTTTCCTTGTTTCATCTTGATATATCTAATTTATGTAGTTTGATTGTAAATATAACATGGTTTGAGGATTTTGAATGATACAATGGTCTGATGTACTTTGGTGACTAATTAGATTGTACTGAAGGGGGTTAAATTGTTCTTAATGAGAGCCTCCACTGCTATGCGCATCATTTATTACACTTTGAAGGAACTGATATGAAAACGCGTTTGATACAGAAACTGCTGTATTGTTCATTGTTCAATATGAAGACAATGTGATGGAACATAGAAGAATACATTTGAATGAAAATCTTACTGTTTCTGTCATCCTTATTTTGAAAACATTAATTTTGGCCATGAGAAAAAAGAGCATGTACAAAAATAACAGATCTAAACTATATTGAAAAGGCTGTGAACTGAAAGACAAGAGAAACAAATAATTAAGCTATTATGGAGAAAAGGGAATAGAATTTAAGCTAAATTGGTTGAACAGTGGAGAAATGGATGCTATTATGTTGATGGAAATAAAAGCTTGTATAACACGTGGAGCCATGGAGGCTTTCTTCTATATTAACTGCAAAATTTGACAGAAAACCTGGGCTGTGATGTTATGGGAATGGAATAAAGCCATGAAATTCCATGTAGGTTTGAAAAAGTAAAAGACCTGGCTGAAGTTACTTTCTCGAATGACTATGGAGTTTTATGGATATACTGTTTTTATGGGGCAGTATCTATCAATGATCAGTTGCCAATTTCAAATATCAGGATGCCTTGATCTTTGTCATGTTGGCTGTTGTGCTTACTTTTTCTCTCTCTTTTTTTGGTCTCCAGCATTGTTCTTGAAGGGCAAAGAGTGCCCCAGTACTGAGAGTCTGAGACCAGGTCCATAACTACCCCTTCCAGGAATCATGATTGTGAACATGTACCCTAAAATGTGCAGTTTAGTATGCTCTTTTAAGAAAAAGAGAATATTTTTTTTGGTGCATTCGGTTCCCTGCACTTGCCCTTGGAATGTATTTTTCTCCAAACAAAAGCTTGAGTTGTGACTCTTGTGAGGGCAAGCCATGGAGCAGTAGTAAGATTGCGTACAATCAACCCTCACCCTTACCCTCGCATAGTCGGGAAGCCTTATGCATCGGGGTTTGCCCTTTTTAAGATGCTTGAATTGTCTTCTATGCCATTGATTTTCTTAACTGTGCACGGCTACATGTGTTTTTGTCCACTTTTACATCTCTGATTATGTAGTTGTGCCTTCTTTTCTCCAATTTGTCATCTGGGTTTAACACCATGCTTCAATCCTAATCACCACTGTATCCTGTCAACATTTAGCATGTAATTGAAACCTGAAGTATACATGAAGCACTGAATCATATTTTCTGTTGAGAAATCATTGGTTTACGGCTTAAGTTTTGACTTAGTTTCAGTTAATTTCAGGTTACATATATAGAGCCTGGACAGAGCTCTGATATTGAAACAAATTATGGTTCTAAGGTCAATGTTAAGGCTACAGCAGGACCAGTTCTTGGACCTCCTTGGCAGCGCCCTGAGAATGGGTAACTACTGCAAAAATATTTCTAGCTATTTTTATCTAATGCATTTGTGTATTAGGTTTTATTTCCACCTTATTTGTTGGTTTGTTATCCTTTCATATTTTCATTCAAGTGCTATTCAATAGAATATAATGGTTTTGTGCTGCATGTGTTGTAGGTATCTTGTTAGATCCCAACAAGGACAATTGTCTCTCTACTATGAACCCCACTGTGTATATAATCAAAGTTTCATTGAGAAGGAAAAGGCAGATATTGTGATCACGCCAGTCATAAAGCAGCTTTTGCCAAAGTTTACCTTGGTTTCAGGACAAGAAGATGCAGTGAAACTTGCAAAGCTGCTTCGAGCCAAGTAAGATTTTGTATTTACAGGCAGAATCACCAAAAATTCTCTTCAATTCAAATGGGTCATTGTAAAAGACCCAAAAATTTCATTCATGCAAAAGAATAAAATGAAAAAAATTGTTATTTTTTTGATACTAGAACAACTAAATGACTACTTTTGCTATTAAATAGCAACATTAAAAGAAGGTATTTGCATGAATATGTTTTTGGGAACTCGGAAAAGGAAATTCCAGGTAACAAATATTTACAATTTACGAACAATTAACCACTTAATTGATTAATTACGTCGATTAGTGGTTACTCCTTAACCCCTCTTTGAATATCATTAACTAGTTAAAAGGTTAAATTGTTCTTGAATTGAAATATTCTTCCAAGAATTTATTTTGGGAAATTTTCCCTATAATTTTTTGGTTCCTTTGGAAGAATACATTTGAACTTTAGCTCATTTTGGTGATTTTGACCTTTTATATTTCTTGTTAGAAGTTTCACTGTATTTCATAGTTCTCTACGTATATCTTAGATGCTCTTTCCATGTTTGATAGGTTCATTGTGCCAATGAAAAATGGAGACCTTGATAGCAAAGGGCTTCTTGCAAGCATAGTTCAGACTGAAGGAACAGTAGAATCATTTAAGGTTAGATTTATTTTGGTTGTTATTGATAAGTTGCTCAATATATGATTTTTGTATCTGAAATGGTATCTGAATATCACAAAATGGCATCTGAAGATTATAGTTCCAAAAACACACTGAAACACCAAAACTATATTATTATAATAATAATTCAAACTATAAGTATCCAAAAAATGGAACATAATACGTAAGTCATCCAAAAAAGGAGCATCCAAACTATTGTCCAATAACAATAGTTGTCCTAGCTACAGTCATAAAAAATGGCAAGGAGCAATGGTAATGATCCAATAGTCATCCATCTATACTTCCTATCACTAATATATATATATATATTGTTGAAATTATAGGAATTTTGGTTAAGAATAAAGAAAAGAGAGAACAAACACTGAGTAATAGAACATAACATTGATATATGGTGTGTGTTGCTGTGTTATAAAAGACAAAGAACTAAGCTCTATTAATATTAATATGGACTTAATGAATCAACTACCAGGAGATATTTGCTTAGTAGCAAAGTTAAACACTTTTAAGACTCTTGCTCTCTCTTGCTTCTCACTATGTGTGGGACTTGCAACAGTTCGATGTTAATAATGTTTTCCATCATGGAGACTTAGAGGAGGAAATTTATATGGAGATTTCACCTAGATATAATTCCCCCTAGTTGAGGAAATAAAAAGTGTAATCTAAAAAGGCTTGGTATGGATTGCATCAGTCCTTTTGTGCATGGATTGGAAGATTCTAAAAGCAATGGTGTCTTTGGGATATAGACAAAGTTAGGGTGATCATACTCTCTCTTTAAAGCATACATAACAAGGTAAACTCACTATCCTACTTGTGTATGTTGGTGACATTATTATATCAGGTAACGGCTTAGCTAAGAAATAACTAATAAAGCCATGGTTGAGATGAAAGATCTTGGAGGATAAAACACTTCCTTGGATTGAAGTTTCTTACTCCAAACAAGGCATCTTAATTTCTTAAAGGAAATATGTTTTTGGCCTTCTTAGGGAGACTGTGAAGCTAGGGTGTAAGGCTATTGATTTATTCATTGAGAAGAATCACAGAAAGGGCAATGATGAAGAAAGTCCCAAGGATAATAGAGCTCAATATTAGAGGTTGGTAGATAAATTGATATATCTGACATATACTAGATTAGGTCTAATATATGTAGCTAATTCATATATGGCCCAAGGTTGAGACACTTGCAGGCAGAATTCTGCTATACCTTGAAGCTACACCTGACATAGGATTATTATTTAGAAGGGGTGGAAATTTATGTATGGAAGTATATATGGTTGCTTGTTATGCATGATTAATCATTGATAGGAGATCAACCTTTGGTTATTGTATGTTCTTGGGTGGAAATTTAGCTACAAAGAAACAAAATGTGTATGCTCACTCAAGTGTGGAGATTTAGTTTCGAGCGTTGACACAAAGTCTAATAGTTAATACGGATGAAGAATATATTGGATGACCTTAGAATAAAGTATGAAGCTGTTTTATAACAACAAATCATCCATTAGCATTATTCATAATCTAATTCAGCATGACAGGACAAGACATATTGAGATATATTACATTTCATTAAGGAGAAATTAGATAGTGAACTGATCATTCTATTATATGTTTCATGAAGGGCTCAATTGTCATGTCTTAACTAAAGGGCTACATGGAGGTTTTAGGATCTCACTGCCTAGCTAAACTGGAATGATACTTTACCAACATGAGGAGCTGGAATAATAGACATCCATTTACCAGCATGAAGGGGAGGGTTGTAATAGTGCCACATTGGTTGCCTTTGTAGTTATTATAAATTACAACTCTTTCCGAAGAGGCTCATAGTTGGGATAGTGTTTTAATGTTGGTATATTATGGTCAGCATCATCCAAGTTTGTATCCCCAAAGCTGTAATCTCTTTGCCATTATGTCAGAAAGCACATGTGGCAAACCAAGAAGCAATCTTCATTGGTCGTCTGAGAACATGAGAAAGATTTTCTAACCATTAGGAAAATGTATCATTTTTTAACAGAACATAATAGACATCTCTGCACTTAGCTCTCTAGATTGCTAACCTAATTAGCTTTACCTTATTCCTTCTAGATTGTTCCAAATGCAAATTTTATATCAGTCATCTAACACATGACCCCTCACTGAAAATTTACCTGTTGGTTTTTCTTTTGACTTTGGTTGCTTCATTATCAGTCTCCCTTTAACTATTTGGCTCCAATCACCTAAACCAAGTCAGCCTTTCACTTTTGTTCTTGCTTTGTGGCATTCACATTCTTTTTCTTTCTTAACCAGCAAAAGATAGTGCTTCTTATGTGCAACAACAATGAAATTATTATTACTAAAAGAACAATGAAGTAATTGTTTAGTCCATTACTAATAATTTGGGTGTGGTGTTGGGATGAAAAATAGCTTCGAAGCTTCTCTACAGTTTCTGATTGCTTTCTAGCTATATTCTTTCTTTTCATTTTTTGCTAAATGATTCTATCTTGAAATGGTTATCAATGCAGGAGCTTTTATCGAAAGAGTTACCAGATGCAAAGGTTGTAGAACCTACCCCTGGAGTAACAGTAGAAATTTCAGCAAATTAAAGCTGTAGCTCCTCTTTATCCATTTGCTCCTTCCCCGTTCATCTTTCTTTGGGGGTCAAATGGAACCAAAGTTTCTCCAAGATGAATATACTTTAGTGTCAAGGGTGTAAAAGCACTTTTTGTAACATCCTAGTAATTACTTCTTCTACCATATACCATGTGTACTAGTTTAATTATCCTTTTTCTCTGATTATGTCTTGCGTTGAAGGTAGAGCCTACTTGCTTAATTGAATAGGATGAAAACTTGGCTTATGATATGTGTAAAAAATGTTAGATTGCACATCCTTGTGCACTGTACTCTTATTAATGCCGTAGCCTAGATATTATTATATCAATATATAAAGAAAAAGAGGAGAAAATGATAATAGTAGTAAAAATCCACAAAGTTGGCAATGAAATACTAAAAATGATTTGCTTGGAATTTTATTGGTCAGTTGAGATAGACACTTGTACCACTGGTAAATAAACAGAATAAATATTTAGCGGAATTATGACTCTTATCTTAGTGGGTTACCTAAGATTTAGTAGTCGCTTATGTATGTTATAAGTTAGCCCAAGTGGAAGTGAATCCAGAAAATATTATTTATGTCCGCACATTTAATGATGGAGTTTAGGAGCAGCGCTCTCGAAATTTTTTTTAAAGAAAATTTTAAATGTATTAAAAAACAAAAAATATAAATAAGAAAAGAAAAAAACTTCAACTTAACATAAAAAAATTATTTTCAACACCTTTTTTTTTTAATCAAACTGATTTGTTATATGACATCATAAAATCTTCAATAAAATATATGACATCCCATTTCATCTCATCGTATTCCATTCATTTTCATTCCATCCCTCGTTATATATTCAAGCAAAGCCTAATCTAACCAAATTATGCTTTACTACTATGTTTAAAAAATAAAAAAAAATCCATGGATTCATGTCCTCAAGTGCGGACATGGCCGACCAAATAGGTTCGGCACTGAGTGGAACTTAACTTAGTCTTAGTATAAACTATAGGCTTGTATATAGAACATACATGATGGAACAACTTAGGCTTGTATGGGCGGTTATCTCCATAGTTTTTGCCAAGTATACAGTACCAGAGTGTATTATAGTAACTTTAATTATCTCATGTTTGAATTCGTGGTGCAATTTTTTTTATTGAGTTGCAAGACACAGCCTATGGCAATCCGATATAATAAAAAGAAAAGATATGACAAAAAAATAGCTTGAGTAGCTAGCAAGAATCTAGAGGAATGAATACAGGGAATTTTGAGTTTTATGTATTCTGATGGCCTATGATGCCCCTTTTGATGTATAAGATTTAAATAAGTAGAGATGATGCTACATACAAATTTGGCATAGTATGGACATATGTGGATGCAAAATAATGCACACTACCTCAGTTTTGTGCAGAAATCGTAACTTAAAAGTGATAAAATGATGGAATTAATGTTCTTCCCAATTAATGCTGTTCTCTCTATGTGACAACTAAGTCTAGCTGTTACACTTTTCTTATTTAAAACCTGATATTCAATATGATTAAGATTTCACGGTTGATGTTCTGCCTATTAAAAATTATATTTAATTTCCAAACCTCTATTCATTATGCTTGATATTCTTCAATCTTCGAGGAAATTTTTTTGTTCAACTCAAGGCAAGATGTTACGATTACGTGTGTGTACTGTTATGTATTGTTAGTAGTGTAGTTGGTTTAGATATAAGTAAATAGGGAATGCATATGTAGTATAAATAAAAAGCTTGGTGTAAAAGCAAGTCAATAATGAATAATGTCAAAATTTCGTTGATTTCAAATAAGGTAACATCGTAACACAGGCTTGAACTCTTATGAGGTCAATGAGTTTAACTATTTAGGCTCTGAAACTGGGCTGAGTTTGGAGAAACGTATCAAAACCCACAAAATGAGGTGAGATCCTTTAAGGCAGTTATCTAATCTGAGGCCATGTTCTATTGGATCACCCAAAACAATAAAAAGCTACACCACCAGTGTATGATGTAAAAAGGAAGACCAATGTGGTCTAAGATATGTATATACAGTTGAGCCTTCTCAACAACCTAGTAAATAATTAAAAAAAAAAAAAAACTATTTTGAGTCCTCAACAAAAAAAAATACGGAACTCAATTTAATTTCTTAGGGAAAAAAATTATCTATATTAATTCTTTTAGAGGGATTAATATGAGTCTTCTTTAAATTTTTGAGGGACTACAATTTTAAAGAACTAAAATTTCAAAGGGATCATAAGTTGACTTTTTTTTCTAAAAGATTAAAATGGATTCAGTGTTTTTTTGTTGAAAACCCAAAAAAAGTATTTACTCTTAAAAAAAAGTTGCTACATAATTTGTTAAACTGGGCAAAATCATATTATCATCCATAGCACAATTTGTTAAGCTAGTAAATAATTAAAAGAGTTACTGCATAATTTCTTAAAAGTCCACCAAAATAGCAATGCACTTGCAATGACCCTAAACTATGAAATAAATGATAATTTAATTCATTATAATAAATGAAATAAATTATTTCATTTTATAGATTTCAAATACAATACTCATACTTGACGTTGAAATTCATATAATCTCTGTTAAATGTGGTTGATCTCAAATCTCAACAACTCCTTGAGATGTTATAATTTAATTTGTTGGTGTGCACCATGGGTGCTAGTTAAACAAATAACAAATGCATTTGGACGTGTTAATGTGCTTAGGGGGACTGAATATTGGCTTTGAAATTCACCAATTAAATATAATATAATTAATTCCCTTTCGCAAGATTTTGATTCTATTTGAGAATTTTTTTCAGGCCAGTTCATTGGTTTGTCTGCGTCAACCATGACATGAAAAATGTACTCCTTGGGTTTCATTTATCATGTGCCAATGACTCGTTTTGCTTCAGTTAATTTGTGCCATCTATTTTGTTAATATTATATCTTCTAAAACTGTAGAGGGGTTAACTATTTATCATGTGATCATCGCACTAATCAAATAAATAATAGAGGTGAAAAAGTAATTCAGTCAACTTATAATTAAGATCTGGCACTTGCCCCTAATTAGCGGGTATTTTTATTTTTAAACTTGGTTTACTAGTATTAATTGGAACCAACTAATATGTGCATGCACTTAGTGAAAAATAATAATCATATATACAACATGCCCTTCTAAGATTCAAAAGTTCAAGTTCTCTCATTAAATAATTTGATTTCAGTACGATTCACTAAAATCAGCTTTTTTATCATTATGACTCTAAGCAATAGTTTAATCATGATGTATTTGCTTGCCCAATATTTAAGATTATAAAATTTCGCATAACCTAATAATCTAAAATTTATCTCGATGTGTCTATAGTGCAATTTATCCTTGAGTAATAAGTTAATTATATTTATTTATATATAATTATAAGTTTATGTATTTTTATGCTATATATATGGTTCTACTCTAAAAAAGTAAAAATGACACGTGAAACAATTATAATATGTTATACACATATTCTTATATCAGTGTAAAATGATCTTTGACCCGTATATATATATATATATATATATATATATATATATATATATATATATATATATATATATATATATATGATTATGATTAGTATTGTATAATGATTATGGATTGAATAATGACAACATATATATCAACTTTTCCTTTTTAACGAGTGTAAGAGTAGCATATAAACCAATTATTTTATAAATATGAATTGATAATTAATGTTAGGATATATAAATATTAAATATTAAACGAGCTTTTTTTCTTCTTGTACAAAAAGTTCAGCAGGAAAGTCTAAAAGAACTTTTTTTAGGTGGGTACATAATAGAACCTTTTATCATGATAAAAAAGCTAAGAAATTTATAAAGGTACGGCAGAACGATATGTTCTAATTAGTAATTAGACATAATTAGTGGATTGACTCGGAAATGACAAACAATTAAATCAACGGATGATTCTTGTAAAACTCAAGTTAAAAGTAGAATTTACGTATCTTTTGACTCAAAGGAAAAACAAATTTGTATGTTAAGGTTTGAAGAATATTCCTTATCACTGTACTATGACACATCCTCTCATAATTATCAAGGCTTAATATAATAAGAAAGAATCCATCAATAAACCCGAACAAGACTTCACTACACTTGGTGCCTTTTACAATGGACCCATTGGGACCACCGGTGGTCCCTTGAGTTTACTCACTATAATAGGTTTTCATTATTTATTTTGAATTTTTTTATTTATAATATATTTTTATTCCTCATTCAGAACCTAGATTAATGTCATCGGTTGATTTTTCTTTTTTTCTTTTTTCATATCCAACGGATGAAAATTGATGTTCCACTGTGCACCCCAGTTTAGAGATTTCACAGTGAACAAGCCTCCTATACCATTTCCTATACCATTTTCTTTTTTTTTTTTTGTAAATTCCTATACCATTTTCGTATATGTTGTTTTCCTATGTTTAAGCAACCATATAGGTCACCTGGCCCTATATTCACTCAAGGAGCAAATTTAGCATAACCCTGTCCAATTCTATGCCACCCAAAACGACAATTGCTTAGTCCAAATCCATGTTCAAAGGATCCAAAGTCATGCCATTTGTTAATTTAATACCATAAAATTTTCAAACACAATGTTTCTTTAGCCAACATGTAAGTGGCTAAATTAATAATCAAAATACATGTCATGATTGAGAACTCATATTCATATATCGCTTATCGTTTATCAAGTTGTTTAAGATAATTTTATCTCAAGCTACTAAATTATAACTGTACAAAGATGGATCAATGATGATAAAGGAAAAGAGAGAAAAAAGGGAATCATAAAAATTAAAAGGTGAATTAATTAATATAAGAAAATAAATAAAAGAAACGATGTAGTTTTTGGGTGGACGGAGATAAATATATCTCAAGCTATTTAAGAAATTTTTTTTCATATATATATATATATATATATATATATATATATATATGGACTCATCGTTTCTCAAGCTGTTTGAGATAATTTTATCACTGGCTAATAAATCATAACCGCACAAAGATGGATCAATGGTGATAAAGGAAGATAGAGAAAAAGGAAATCATAACCATTCAAAGGTGAATCAATTAATATAAGAAAAACATTTCTCAAGCAGCTTGAGATAAATTTATCTTCAGCTATCCCAAAACTACGTCGTTTTATTTATTTATTTATTTCCTTATATTAATTGATTCACTTTTGAATGGTTATGATTCTCTTTTTCTCTATCTTCCTTTATCACCATTGATCTATCTTTGTACGGTTATGATTTAATAACCGGAGATAAAATTATCTCAAGCAACTTGAGAAACGATAAACACATTGTTATGGACCTGACAAAGGCCCATATTCTAGAAGGACCAATAAAGGACAACACAAAAGGAAGGGAATCTCCTATTGATGACGATCTTA